CGACTGGGGCCCCTACCTTACAGATTCTGTCGACAGGTCCAGAGGTGTCCATCCACTTTCTCCAGATACTGGCCGGGTCCTGGGCTGAGGTCCTGGAGCTCCTGGAGTTCCCCCCGGTTCAATTCTGCTAAAATCAGCAGAGCGCGCCTTCTGGAGGCCTGTCACGTGCCCCTGGGCCCCAAACCCTGTCCACTCACCAGAGGCAAGAGCCAAACATGGTTAGCTTCCAATGTTTTCAGGGAACCATATGTTGCAGAAGGCCAAAGAAATACCAAGCACACTTCCTAGAGAAATGGAGGGGCCCTGTTTATTAATACTAGTGGACTCCGGGAATAATTTCCAAATCAGAGTGAAGTAACATGCAGAGGCTTCGCTTTTTATAATCTTCTGGGAAATTTGTCTTGCAGATATGGTTCCTCCCCCTTCTTGGGCTTACAGGAAGGCCCCCAGGCGTTGATGATCTGTCCTGGGGCCAATGATAACGACCCCCCCCCCCAGGGGAGTGCATTGTTCACAGTTTCTATGGCCTGATACGCCTTGCAAGACCAATTTCCTCTTCAAGATGGTCTGCTCAAAGCCTTGCAGTATCTTCCCATCACACATGGCTTACTAGGCCCTTGGTGATCTGATTTTGCTGACTTCATTCTCTACCCTTCACTGACCTCCAGCACACCAGGTTCTTCAGTACTTCTTTTTGTAGAAACATGTTCCTGCCTCAGGGCCTTTATAGCTGCTACTAGTAGCTCAGTGCACAAAATTTGTGCACTGGGGTGGGGGGGGGGGAAGGGGGCCCCTCAGTCTGGCCTGCACCCACTCTAATCTGGGACCCCTCGGGGAATGTCCGACTGACTGTTTGTGCCCACACTTTTAACAGATAACAGCTCCATTGTTGTTTCTTTCTTCTCATGCTAAAACCATTGGAATTAGTAGGTATTTAAAGTGTGTATACATTTTGGGGAGACACCCTGTATATCTCCAGTCAGCGGTGAAAGGAACCAAGAGCGGATTTGGAACCCTAAGACAGGGAACCTTGCTCACTTCCCTCATGTCCCCCCAATTCATTTTCCACCTTCGTGGGCAGCGGGAGAATCAATGTTTTCTCTCATTAACTCGGAAAAGCACGTCCTGTCACCCGCTGCCCGGCAGGAGTGCTAGGCCCCCCAAGC